GTTGTACGAGCTGTGATGTGTGGACTGATGCAAGCTCTACGTGGCCGTATTGCATCAGATTCCCTTCCTTGTCGCAAGCCTGTGTCTCAGAGTCTTAGCTCTGTTTGTTTTCTGTTTTGGTTTTGATTTTGTTTTTCCCTGCAGTCGAATAAAACCTGCACTTGGACCCAGATCCTTGTTTACACGGTGTTTTTCCTAACCGCGCCGTGACAATAACATGTGAGTGAGGTTTGCCAATGCCAAACTCAATGTTAGGGTGTTGCTAGCTGATTTCTAGGGTTGCTATTAGAATAATATGGGTATTAGATATATTAGAACCCCTTATCTCTATGATATTCTGATCCCCAGACAACATTCTTCACTTCTAAATGTCCCTTATATGTTTGCTTTAATTAAATATTTAAACATTTTATGTTTTCAGCTATTTTTTTGCCTTAAAAAAAACGAATATCCAGTGAAATAAGTAAAAGCCCACAAATACACTCAATGGACAAGACTTTGTGGAATATTGTCAAATATGCATGACATCAATAAGCAGCTGGTGACACCATGTAAAGCACAAACACTTAAAGTTCCCTTAATACAGGAACTCCACCAAGAATATTTTGGACAAATTATAAACTGATTTTGCAGTACTTCTTCCAACATGTAGTAAAACAGTTATGTGATGTACTGAGTAATTTATGTAGTCACAAAACAACTGGTCACTTCCCTACTGAGCTCGCTCTCAGGTATGGATGCCTGAATTGCAGTAAATATGGCATTATTATCATCGTCATGGTTACTGTGTAGATAAACACACATAAAGATGTCGATGAAGATAATCAGTCTTTAATAAATTCACAGAAGGTAAATCCAGACAGAGGGTAGGCTTTTAATACATGTATCATCAACAAGACCCGACAAACTCAAACTGAACAGACAGGAACTTAAATTCACAGACCAAACGAGGATAATTAACAAGACACAACTGAACATAAAGAAGAACTCAAATCAGAAACCATGACAACTAACTCAGTGAAAACAGTAAAAACAGAAAACAAAGTCCAAACAGTGTGATGGTGTGACAGATCGCCCCCATCCCGGAAGTCGCGACCAAGCGGCGCAGAGAAGGAAGGGTCAGAAGATGGCGGAGCATGGCGAAAAGGGATGGCGAAAGGCAGGCGGCCAGCGGAGAAAACTGGTGGAACTTCAGGAGGACGGATGACCGGTAGGAGGATGACAAACTGAGTCCAGGATGGAAATGATGGAGGTAAGAGCCAGGGAGGAGCCTTGAGCAGGGGTGTAACGGTGGGACCCCAGGCCACAGCCAGGACAGTGCTCCACGGTGGCGTCAATGGAGGGAAGAGCCAAGGCGTGACAGGAACACACGCCACCATGGGGACGTCTGGAGGCGACAGCGGTGATGGAGGTGGAGCCCACAGCACAGACAGAGAGCCGAGGAGGTGGCACATACATCGCGGTGGGCTCAGGCAGACGCACAATTGCTTTGAATGCAGATCTGTGAGGAAGTCATGCTAGTCTTGAGGAGAAGGATTCAATATATAGCAATGTGGAGAACAAGGAAAGCTTCTAATGAACATACAGATATAGCTAACTTGTCTAGATTTGTTAAATAGGACATACAAACTATTTAGTGAGTTTCCTCTCTCATATTTGTGTTATAATAATAAGTTTAACTTATATATATATAACTTTTCCTGAGCTGAAGCATGACAGGAACACACGCCACCATGGGGACGTCTGGAGGCGACAGCGGTGATGGAGGTGGAGCCCACAGCACAGACAGAGAGCCGAGGAGGTGGCACATACATCGCGGTGGGCTCAGGCAGACGCACAATTGCTTTGAATGCAGATCTGTGAGGAAGTCATGCTAGTCTTGAGGAGAAGGATTCAATATATAGCAATGTGGAGAACAAGGAAAGCTTCTAATGAACATACAGATATAGCTAACTTGTCTAGATTTGTTAAATAGGACATACAAACTATTTAGTGAGTTTCCTCTCTCATATTTGTGTTATAATAATAAGTTTAACTTATATATATATAACTTTTCCTGAGCTGAAAGTGCTTTACAAAAAGAAAAAAGAAAAACAGGACAAACACGATACAACATACACAATATACATATATAAAATGTATAGTAAAATATATAGTTTTGAATGAAAAGAAACGTATGCCCAACCCAACAGTCTGAACAAAAGTGAAAGCTTCAGCGCAAGTTCTGTCAGGAAGACTCCAATGCCACATCATTCATTCATACTAACAGGTCTGGCCAATCACTGCTTGACAACTGGAGTATATAAGCACTGAACTCTGTTTCATTTTTCGCAGTTGATGACGCTGACGTTCCCTACTCTGTCAGGGAAACTGTCGCTTGAAAACTTTAGCCCGACTTTTCATAAAATTTCTGACAATTTAAATGTAACCTATTGTGAACAATTGTGTAAATGACATTTTGCATGATGCACGCTGTTAATATTGTGCAACAAACTAATATAACAGTAAGTGTTTGCGGTTGTTTGATCATCCTACTATGATGTTAAAGTGTTACTATTTCACAATGGAAAATGTGAAACACTAGCGGGGCTTTTAAGTATCAGTCCGGATGCTCATCGAGCTGTCACATCAATACTCACATCTCAATCACCAAATTGCATTTTTGCCTGAACGCTCACGTAAAGGAGCTAAACCATTTAGGGCCTTAAAAGTAAGTAGTAATATTTTGTAACTGATACGGAACTTAATAGGTAGCCAGTGCAGAGATTGTAAAATTGGGGTAATATGATCAAATTTTCTTGACCTGGTAAGGACTCTAGCAGCTGCATTTTATAACAGTACATCCGTATAGATGCAAATTGTAATCTACTAGATTCTGTGTACTGTTTTTTGGTCCAATAGGTAATATCTCAGTCATATCCTAATTTAATAGGAGAAAATTATTGGTCATCCAGTCTTTTACACTTTTAACACACTCTGTTAGCTTAGATAATTTAGAAGTTTCATCTAGTCTTGTTGAAATATATAGTTGAGTATCATCAGCATAACAATGGAAACTAATCCCGTATGGATGCAGCCTTGGTCTGACGCACAAAGCCAGTCATTTGTAATTTTAAAAAGTGCAGTTTCTGTGCAATGATGGGGCCTGAAACCCGACTGAAATTCTTCATAGATATAATTTTTTTGCAGGAGGAGCACAATTGAGCAGACACAACTTTTTCTAAAATTTTAGATATAAACGAAAGATTTGAAATAGGTCTGTAATTTGACAGTTCACTAGGATCTAGTTGTGGTTTCTTAATAAGAGGCTTAATAACCGCCAGCTTGAATGGTTTTGGGACATGACCTAGAAATAACGACGAGTTATTAATATTGATAAGCGGTTCTTCTGCTACAGGTAACAACTCTTTCAGTAATTTAGTGGGTACAGGTTATAATAAACATGTTGTTGGTTTACCTTCTCTCTGAGTCTTTCTGATAGAAGTAAAAGCTTCAGCGAAAGTTCTATCAGGAAGACTCCAATGCCACATCATTCATTCATACTAAAAGGTCTGGCCAATCATTGCTTGACAACTGGAGTATATAAGCACTGAACTCTCTGTTTCATTTTTCGCAGTTGATGACGCTGACGTTCCCCTCCATCCTCCCCACCACCACCACCACCAGGTTTGCCCTGTCCATACATGGGGGGTAGGCTCCGCCCCTGCCTTCATATTCAGGCAGGATCAGCCAAATCTGCACCCCCAGGATTTGGACAAGGGATGGGGCCATCGCCAAAGAACTTTTATACAACTATACATGAACAATTTTACTCACCACCATCTGTAGCATTTTACGGAATAAATAACATTTAAAGGTTTAACTTCTCTCTGAGTCTTTCTGATAGAATGAACAGCAGAGTAAAAAACAATATAACCAGAGTAGTCCCTCATGGAGTGGCTACACCAAGCAACCTACATTGAACAGCGTCTCGGAAGTCACAGAGCCC